CGGGAGTACAAACTGGTGATGCTGGGCGCCGGCGGCGTGGGCAAGAGCGGTAGGTGGCGTTCGCCTTTGACGGGACACCAGCGACCTCGACCAGCGGTGGGACACTGGCCAGGGCGCCCGCCTTCGGGAGGATTTTAACTTTCATTTCTTCTGTTGTTCTTTGCTTGCGTGTTTGGTTCTTTTGGTACCGGGGATCGAACTCAGGCCCTTGCCCTTGCAAGGCAGGTGCGGAGCCACTGATCTACATCCCTGGCCCCATTTTTTGCTTTTTGAGACAGGGTCTCGATTTGTAGTTCTGGCTGGCCTCGAACTCAGGTCAGTCCTCCTGCCTCAGCAGCCTGAGTGCTGGGATTATAGGCCTGTGTCACGGGCCTGGCTTAACTTTCGTTTTTTGTTTTGAAGCTATGACCATGCAGTTCATCAGCCATCGATTCCCGGAAGACCACGACCCCACCATTGGTAAGTCGGACCCCCAGGCCGGCTCCTAAGTGTTCTCTAAGAAGCTGCTTGCTGAGTGCGGGTTCTGAAAGGCTATTCCCAAATCTATTGGAAGCCCCTCCCTTTTCTGCGTTCTAGTTCAGATTTGTTTAGAAACAATGATATCATAGAAGTTGTTAAGCAACTGAGCATTTCTTTTCTTCCGAACTTGCTCTGTGTGCACCTAGGTCGTCTTTATTTCTGCCGTGTACTGAGCACTACAGGACAACTTTCTTTGCATACTTTGGTAGATTGCAATGTCCGACCAGGGAAGGCGGACAGGCTGCCTAGGGAAGGGTCTGACTTGAGACGGACTAAGTGTGAGTCAGCTGGTTTGAACTTCCACAAAAGGAAGCAGAAAAACAAGTAGAGCCAGCCTACTGCACCCTTAAAACTAGGCGTGCGCGCATGCCGGCTCTGGAGGCTCTCACCAGAGGCTTCCACTTACTTCCTTATACCTGACTCACTGTACAGTGATGTCTCCTTCCATGTCTTCAACTCAGTCACTTTGTGTGCTGTATCTTTTTATTTTCTAAATTGCCATTCTCTACAGAGACCAGACGATGCTGTCACTGCTAAACCAGCAGGAAGCGAGCTGGGTTCTCAGGGCTTACACCCTTGTGTGAGAGCACAGTGTCCTTTCCGTGCAGCGTCTGCATGGCGCCGGACTCTGGGAATCATTTCCCCTGGCCAGGCCTCTGCTGCTCTTGCTTCTGTTCACAGAGCCGGCGAGTTGGGTGTGGATTTGGGGCGCATAGAAGCAGAACTGGGGACTGGGGATACGGTGCCAAGGATCCAACCCAGCGCAGTGACCCTGAGTGACACCCGAACCCTGGCGGAGCAGATTGAGAACACTGCCCTGTAGGTGGGAGTTTAGAGGTCTGAGGGTGCAGTCCCCACAGAGCACTCACCTAGCGTGTGTGAGGGCTTGGTTCCATGCCCAGCACTGCCAAAACCAAACAAAAACAAAAAACTTCAGGGTTAGGATTATTTACTTAGTTCCAGAAACATCTCCTTTCTTCAAAGTAAAACTCATATATTTGTTCCATATAATAGATACTTTTTAGTTGTTTCATTTGTTTGGTACTTTTTATTTTTCTTTTCCTCTGTTTTTCCTTTTTTTGGTACCGGGATCGAACTTGGGACCTTGCGCTTACAGGGCAGGCAATGGAACCACTGAGCTAAATCCTGGGCTCTGTTTTTCCTTTTTCTTTTCTGTGCTGGGGATCAAACCAAAGACCTTGCATGCCATAGACAGGTGTCCTATCACTGCACTACTCTAGGTAGGTTTTTGTTTTTCTGTTTTTTGAGACAGGATCTCTCCTTGTACAGTAGTTGAGGCTGGCCTCGAGCTTGCTCTATAGCCCGGCTGGGCTCAAACTTGCAATAATCTTCCTGTCTCAGCCTCCTGCATGCTGGATTACAGGTGTGTGGCACCAGACCCAGCTTCATGAAGTAGTTTTTCAATCTGCCCATCCCGTCTCCCATCAGTGTCAGCTGCTCTCCTGACAGTGTTATCAGATGGGGCAGTAAATTCTGTGGCTTTAGTTGCTGCTTTGTACTGTGGTAGGAGTTTGGAAACAGTGGCAGACAAAAACAAGGTGACTGCTGTGACTGAATTGACGGTTTATTGTGTTTTAAACTTTGGCTACAAACTCGGAGAGGGAAGAATCTGCACTGTAGCCAGTACATACATAAGTGTGAAAGTGTACGTTTTGTGTGCACTTCCTTATTAGCATGTTTGTATCCGAAACTGAAACATGAAACTATATTGCCCTTAGTACTTGTGGTACCCACTCATGCTTTTTATGTGTTTTAAGTTTTTGCCTTTTTATGTTAATGTTGGTCTCAGCGCGCTGGGTTGATTGCACAGCTCATTGACCCTAACTGATCATTATTTATAGTTTAAGAATCATTGACTTAGCTGGGTGTGGTGGCGCACACCTGCAATCCCATCACTCTGGGAGGTTGGAGCGGGACATTGTACATTTGAGCACAGCGAGGGTAATGATTAGTGAGACCCTATCTCAAAATAAACGCATTCTTTTTACAAAGGGCTGGGGAGGGGGGTGGGGATTTAGCTCAGTGGCGCTGCGCCTGCCTTGCAAGCACAAGGTTCGGAGTTTGATCCCTGGTACTGGGAGAAAAAAAAAAAGTGTAAAGACCCTTGGTTCAGTCCCTAGTGCTGGGAAAAGAAAAGAAACACTTGGGCTCTTCATCTTTGAAAAGGAATTAGCAGGAATTTATAAAAATTGTTAGTAGGAAGTTCATTGGAATATAAGTGGCAGTTGCTTTTGAGTAATGAAAATATTGAGTGAGTTTCTCTTTTCTTTACTTTTGTGTATTTTACAGGTTTTTTTTTATAATAACATATAACAGAAAGCAGGCATAGTGTCACGTATGGTTATTCTAAATACTAGAGAGGCTGAGGAGGGAAAATCTTTGAGCCCAGCAGTTTGGGACCAGCCCGAGCAACACGGTGAAACCTGTCTTTCTTAAAATAATAATAGTAATGTATCCAGAAAAGAAATTTTCTTTCATAAAGGAGGAATTATGATAACCTGAATCATCTTAAAAATATAAGTTATGCAAGCACAAGGGCCCGAGTTCAATCCCTGGTACCAAAAAAACAAAAAACAAAATCAAACAAACCAACAAAATATATATAAGTTATGTTTTTTTCTTTTTCTGTAGTATTAAAATAAATAGGATCTATAGTATATAATTAAGTACCCAGACTTTTGAATAAAGCAGCTTTGGGTTAGGTCCTATCTCTGTCATTAATTAACTAATTTGAAGACCTTCTGGGTTTTGTTTTGAGACAGGGTCTCGCTATTATTCCAGGCTGGCTTTGAACTTGCCGTGTAGCCCAGGCTGGTCTGAAATTCACGGCAATCCTCCTGCCTCAGCCTCCTAAGGTGTCCCTAAGTTCCCGTGCTGGAGTCACACTTGTGATCCTCCTAAAATAGGTACATCCTCCTGTGTGTGTTAATGGTACGGCCTTCCTTTCTCCTGTAGAAGATGCTTATAAAATCCGGATCCGTATTGACGATGAGCCTGCCAATCTGGACATTTTGGACACAGCTGGACAGGTATTAAATCCCAGAATGCCGTGCGCTAGGAGTTTTCGGCCAGCAAGGGGCGGGAGGCCTACACAGAGGTCAAGGGTGAATCTCTTTACCGTTCCATGAGGTGGCGCTGGCCCCTCTCCTCTCACCTGGAAGATGCGGCTGGTCTGAGGCTCCAGGCTGCGCAGTTACTGACCCCTGTCCCCTCCAGGCAGAGTTCACAGCCATGCGGGATCAGTACATGAGGGCAGGAGAAGGCTTCATCATCTGTTACTCCATCACGGACCGCAGGAGTTTCCACGAAGTCCGGGAGTTTAAGCAGCTTATTTACCGAGTTCGGCGCACGGATGACACGCCTGTGGTTCTCGTGGGAAACAAGTCTGACCTGAAGCAGCTGAGACAGGTGAGAAAGGAAAACACTGTCCTCTGAAGGGTGAGTCAGTTTTGCTGCAGATTTCCTTTGCCTTCAAATGGAAACATCCTTAGCTTCTCGCTAACCCTGAAAAATTTCACATATGTACTAGTTTGCTATTGTTCAGGATGAAATCTGGATTTCAGGAATCAGTTTATGGGACAGAATCCACTGGGTTATAAACAGATGACAGCTGGGCGTGGTGGCGCACGCCTGTAATCCCAGCACTCAGGAGGCTGAGGCAGGAGGATCGCTGTGAGTTCAAGACCAACCTGGGCTACACAGTGAGTTCTAGTTCATTCTCAACTACATAGTGAGACCCTGTCTCAAAAAACCAAAAAAAATAAACTGATGACAAATAGAACATCCCTTAAGCAAAGGGTCATGGAGCGTTCATTTCCTTAGACTTGGAAATACAGATGTTTATGTTGCAGCTGGAGAAACGTGGCAGTGCCCCTCCTGCGGTGAGGGTTGTGAACCCAGGAAGAGGAGATAAAGAGAAGTTGCAGATGATTTTAGAATTAATTGTGTGTTTGAGCTGGAAGGATGATGGCACAGGCTTGTAAACCCAGTTACTTGAGAGGCTGAGGCAGGAGGACTACAAGTTCAAGGCCAGCTGGGGCAACTTAGCAAAATCCTGCCTTAAGGGCCGGGGATTTAGCTCAGTGGTACGGCTGCCTGCCTTGCAAGTGCAAGGTCCCAAGTTTGATCCCCGATACAAAAAGAAAAGAAAAAGAAAATTAAGATTGCATATTGAAGGCTGGGTGTGGTGGAGCACACCTGTAATCCATCAGTTGGGAGACTGAGGCAAGAGGAGCACTAAGTTTGAGACCAGCCTGGGCTCTATAGTGAGTTTGAGGCCAGCATGAACTGCACAGTGAGAACCTGTCTCCAAAAAAAAAAAAAAAATCACATACCGAAGGTGAAAGTGATAAAGCAGTCATGAAATAGGGCCTCCCTGCATCATGGAGTCCCTGTGCTCACACATGTGGAGAGTTGAGCACTCTGCTAAGGCAGCCCCTCACTCTTCTTTTGTTGTTTTTTGAGACAGGGCCTCACTATGTAGTTGAGACCGACCTAGAACTCACTATGTAGCCCAAGCTGGTCTTGAACTCACAGCGATCCTCCTGCCTCAGCCTCCCAAGTGCTGGGATTACAGGTGTGCACCACCACGCCCAGTGCTCCTCACTTTTTTAACAGTTGTGATTGCTTCCCACTTCTCTCACTGTAAATTTGGTCATGTTTGTATTTCAAAGGTCACCAAGGAAGAAGGGTTTGCTCTGGCCCGAGAATTCAGCTGTCCCTTTTTCGAGACTTCTGCTGCATACCGCTACTACATTGATGATGTTTTCCACGCACTTGTCCGGGAAATACGTAGGAAAGAAAAGGAGGCAGTCCTGGCCATGGAGAAAAAGTCTAAACCCAAAAGCAGTGTCTGGAAGAGGCTAAAGTCCCCGTTCCAGAAGAAGAAGGATTCAGTCACCTGAGAGGGTGCGGCCTGTCCACCTGTGCACTGCAGGGCTTGAGCCTGCAGTTGAGCCTGTGGTGCTGCTCGTCCTCCTGCTACTGACTGTGATTCGAGGGACCGGCGAGGGGACGGGGTGTGGCTGCGAGGAGCTTCCAGTGATGGGTATTTAAAGTACTGTTTCTTAGTTGATTCTGGTTTCTTAACCAGCAGAGCACTGTCTGCTCTGCAGCGGTCACATTAGTATTCGCGCTGCCCTGCTGGGTCCTGCTGCCCACACGAACCCACGTCGTTCACACCCGGACAGTGAGCGCCCGTGTGTGAGCAGGTGCACAGTGGGGCCTGCCGCCTCGCCTGCCCTGCGTGCCAGAGACCACGAAGATGCCCGGTGGGTGTGAGTGGGAGGGGCCTGGCTTTTCTGAGCAGCGCGCATGGTGGGGCTCGGGGGAGTGGGGGGACTTCAGGGTTTGCCTTTCTGTCTCTGCAAATGTAAACGCTTGGCAGCCTCTGGCTTGCTGACTCTTGTTTGAACCCTTAGCCGGGGCAGCCCCCGCCTTGGGCAGGGAGCTCGCAAGGATGGAGGCTTCCAGTGTCCCTTCACTTTCTCTGTGCTCTTAGAGAAGTTAGGCCCGGCAATGTGGTGTTTAGGGCCTCGTCCGACTGACTGCATCTTCATGCAGAGGAGATACCACAAGTGTGACTAAGTTATGTGTGCGCCTCCTTGACCTCCAGAGTCACTAGGCGCAGTGTTCTAAGGGAGCAGGTGGCTGGGCATGGTGGTGCGTGCCTGTAATCTCAGCACTGAGGAGACTGAGGCAGGAGGGTGGCCATGAGTTCAAAGTCCCGCCTGAAGCACATAGTGTTTCAAAAACCAAAAAAGAAAAGAAAGCCTGTGTTTTTTCAGTTTATTGGGTCGGTCTTGAAGCTTTCATGTTCACATGGAGTTTGTAACCTGAAGATTTCCTTCAAAGGACCTTACAAAGTTCACCTCAGGGTTGAGTGAGCCTTGACAAAGTTTAGATCAAGAGAAAACCATGCGGCTCCGTGTACGTTTTGGGGAGCTGTCATCCTAGGGAGAAACAGCTCTGAGTCGGTGGCGAGTGCCTGTGGGCTGCACCTGTGTGTGGAGAGTGCAGCAGGAGGGTGGACAGCGGCTCCTGTCACCAAAGCGGCTTTATCCACTTTCAGCTCAGGGGACTTGCTGAGGCAGCCCTGAAAAAGCACAGGGCTCAACTGGCTCTTTTCCATTGTGGTTAAAGGCAGGAAGATGGGGCCGTTGTGTTCTTCTATATAAATCAGTGGTCTAGGGCCCAGATTTAAAGAAAGGCAAGTGATAGAACTTCTTTAGCTCTGAGTAGTGGTCCCTTGTGAAACTCCTGAACACTCGGTAGCAGATTAGTCCCGTTTCTGGTGCTCAAGCCATCCAGAAGTGAAGGGTGACCAGTTGAGTCCACGGGTCTCACGGGAGCCACGGTACAGGGAGGAAGCACGAAAGCAGAACAGAAATGAGATGCCATTCCACTGTGACGTTACCCCTCACTTAAACGGGTTCAGCGCCGCAGCTCCTCCCTACTGATGACCTAGGGAACTGTCCTTAGCACCCAGCAAGGAAGGTTCAGCTGAATACACACACACACACACACACACACACACACACACACACACGCAAGGAAGGTTCAGCTGAATACACACACACACACACACACACACATAATTTTTTTTTTCTTTTTTGTGGTAGGTACCAGGGATCGAACTCAGGTCCTTGCACTTGTGAGGCAGGCCACCGAAACTGCTGAGCTAAATCCATTAAATCCCCGGCCCTCAGCTGTATAATTCTTGAAGATAATTAGGCAGTGGAGAACATTTCCAGCAAGAAGGATCTGTAAGAAGCGAATGTGTACTGAGTATAGAAGAAAATCAGGGCTTTTGAGAAAAGTCAGGTGTTTACTCTTTGGATGAGCTGGTCCCTTGGGTGGTGCTGAGTAGGACTGCTAGATGGTGTCAGGGTACAACGTGTGAGTCACAGCTTTGTTCTGAGTGTAGGTGATTCATGAGCTCCAATCTTTATCCAGTCTGAGGGCATTAAAATTAATTACCTGGAACTTCAAAGAAGATTCAGGAATGAGTTGAAAGGCACAGGAACTATTCGTGTTTGTACCAGATCAGTGAGACAAGATTCAAAAGCCCAAGCCAGGCTATAATCCTTGCAGTCGGGAGGATGAGGCAGGAGAATCAGGAGTTCAAGTCCACCCTAGACTAAAAACCAAAACAAAACATTGAAAAGCTAGTGTCTAGACTTAGCTGTTCAGAATTCCAAAGGGGACATTTGTTTTAACATCCTAATGTATTCGCAAAAAAGGGCCCTACTGCGATGTTTGGGCAGGGAGAAGTTTTTCCCTGGGAAGGGAGAAGTTTTTCCCTTATGCCCTTGTATATGAAGACAGTTTGTATGACAATACAAAACTTTTAAACAATTTTGTTGGGCTTTTCTTTTGTATACCTATAAGTGGGTAGAAATATTTGGAATCATAAAAAGTTGATTTTAAGAAAATATAAAAGCCTGTGGTTATGGCTCAGTGTAGAGTATGTTGCCTACCATACTTGAGTCCCTAGGTTCAATTCCCAGCACCTAAAAGGAAAAAATACCATGAGTTTTTGTTTTGTTTTACTTTGGGTTTTGTTTGTTTGTTTAGACAGGGTCTCACTATGTAGTTCAGACTGCCCTGGAACTCATTATGTAGCCCAGGCTGGTCTTGAATTCGCAATGATCCTCCTGCCTCAGCCTCCCCAGTGCTGGGATTACAGGTGTTCGCCACCATGCCTGGCATGCATGAGATTTTATATTCTAGAAAATAATGATTGAGTTGGGCAGGTGCTGCATGCCTATAATCCCAGCATTCAGGAGGCTGAGGCAGGAGGATCACCCCAAGTTCAAGGCCAGCCTGAACTACACAGCGAGACCCTGCCTCAGAAAAATGATTGAAAAAAAATGTGAGCCGAATATGGTGGCACATGCCTGTAGTCTCAGGTACTGGGGAGGCTGAGGATCACAAGGTAGAGGCCAGCCTGGGCAAGACCCTGTTTCAAGAACCAAAAAGGGCTGGGGTGTAGTGTAGTGGTAGCATGCCCTGGGGTTTGAGCCCCTGCTCCAGAAAAAGGATGTTTTTGAGTACTCAACCAAGTACAGAGGCCCTGTATAGCAAGCACACGCAGAAGAGGAGACCTCTTTGTGAGGTGACAGGGAAGAAAATGCAGGGGGAGGCGCACAGGCCATCCCGCCCAGAGCCACTCCATCATCTCAGATGTGTAATAAGAAGGGAAGGGTAATCACTGATGCAAATGTCATCGCTTTTGTCTGTTCTACTTTTAAGTGGGCACCAGTGTTGGTAGTGAGGACCTAGTTTGGACATTGAGGGGATTTGTGTCCTCTCTATTTAGCACTTTTTGTTGTTGTTCAGGGATTGAACTCAGGACCTTGCACTTGTGAGGCAGGCAGCGGCACCACTGAGCTAAATCCCGGCCCACAATTCAGCACTTTTTAATTTTTACTTTGGCAGCACTGGGGATTGAACTCAGGGTCCTTGTACTCTGTCACATCCCCAGCCCATTTTTGTCTTTTTTTGTTTTGTTTTGTTTTTTGAGACAGGGACTCACTATGTAGTTGAGACTGACCTGGAACTCACTGCGTAGCACAGGCTGGCCTCGAACTCACAGCAATCCTCCTGCCTCAGCCTCCCGAGTGCTGGGATTACAGGCATGTGCCATGATGCCCGGCTTTTTGTCTTTGAGAGTATCTCACTAACTTGCTAAATTGCCCAGACTGGGTTTGAACTTGATTTTTCATATTTTAAGAAGGTTTCGCTGCCAGGTGTGGTGGTGTACACCTATAATCACAACGCTCAGGAGGCTGAGGCAGGAGGATCATTGTGAGTTTGTGGCCAGCCTGGACTGTGCAGAGACCTTGTCCCAAAACAACAATAACAAAATACAACAGGGTCTGTGCAGTCCAGGTTGGCCTTGAACTCTCTCTGTAGCCTAGGTTTACCTTGAACTCATGTCAACTCTGCTGCCTCAGCCTTCCTAGTGCTGGGACTCTAAGTGTCCACCATCACACCTGACCAGTTTTATATTTATTTACTTTTGAGACAGGGTCTTAGTACGTAGTTCAGACTGGAACTCACTATGTAGCCCAGGCTGGTCTTGAACTTGCAGTGATCCTCCTGCCTCAGCCTCCTGAGTGCTGCTTGGATTATAGGCATGCGCCACCACGCCTGGCTGAGAGTTTAAATTTATGATTTCCTGCCTCAGCCTCCCAGAGTGCTAGGATTACATGCCTGTGCTACCATATCCAGCTTTTTTTTTTTTTTTAACACTTTTTGAAGGGTCAATAAAAATGTTGACACCTGACGTGAGGGTAATGGAATTACAATCCAGTATGCTAAGCATTGTTTTAAAGCTGTGAGGGATTCAAAGGAATGTAAAATATCCTTGCTCTGAAGTTTGGATAAAATTTGCATATTCATCTGGGGACAGCTCAGTGGTACAAAGGATCCTTGTCATGTTGGAGGCTCTGTGATCAATTCCCCATGTAGTAATAAATACATGAATAAACTGGGCACCTTGGTGCAGGCCAATGATCCCATCTACTCAAGAGGCTGAAGCAGGAGGATGCCAAGGTGAAAGCCAGTCTGGGTTATTTAGTGAAACTACCAAAATTTAAAAAGTGGGGGAGCCAGGCATGTGGGGTGGAGCATTTGCCTAGTATGTGACAGGCCCTAGGTTCAGTACCCAGTACGACAAAGACAAGAACGAGAAAAACAAGTGGGAAGGCCCTGAGCCGGCGAAAATGGCGGAGCTGGGGGAAGCCCAGACCCAAGGTCCCGGCTGTGGGCGAGGCTCACCGCGCATGCGTGGAAGTCGGCCTGGCCGCGCCAGGTACGGAAGGCCCCAGCGCGGGCCGCGAAGAGAAGGCGGAGGAGCTGGCTTTTGAGGCGCTCGTGCAAGAGCAGGTAAACAGAACGGTGAATCTCACCTGAATTCTTTCTAGTATAAATGCAGGAGACAACGTATCCAGAATTCGGATCCCTGCAACTTTCCAAACGCAGTCTTTCTGCTGACGTTCGAGCCAGTCTCGCTGGGGCCCAAGCCGGTGTCCAGTCCCCTGCCTTTGCCTCAGTAGTGCTGGGATCGCAGCCTGTGGGCCTTGTCCAGACGCAGCCTCGAGAACGGTGAAACCTATATAGCAGTTGCAATCTTACTTTTTAGGATCCTTGTTAATTTGTTTTGTTTTCCTTTGTGGTGTGCTGGTAGCCCTCAGGAACAACTTTACCACTGAACGTTTTTATTAGTACATTTCCAGTGCAGAATGTTTACATTCCTTATGTGGAGTTGTACAAGCACTTATACATATTAATTCCTTTTTCACCCCCTTTCCTCCCCTGCCTAACCCTTCATCTCTCTATCCATTTTCCCCCATTTGAGAAAGATCTGTCTCCCTACTTCCTATTATCTTTCATTTTGCTCTTTATTTATAATTTGGGTTTTGCATATAGGAGAAACCATGTGGTATTTAAGCTCGTGTGTCTGATTTATTTCACTTAATATGATGGTCTCAAGGTGCATCTATTGTCCTGCAAATATCTCAAGTTTATCATTCTTCATAGCAGAGTAGTACTCCACGGTAAGTAAATACCACCTTTTTCTTTCTTTCTTTCTTTTTTTTGCGGGGAGCGGGTTGAGACAGGGACTCACTATGTAGTTGAGAATGCCGTGCAACTCACTATGTAGCCTAGGCTGGTCTCAAACTCACAGCGATCCTCCTGCCTCAGCCTCCCGAGTGCTGGTGAGATTATAGGCATGCGCCACCACACCTGGCTTACCATATTTTCTTTATCCACTCATCTGTTGATGGACATGCAGGCTGCTTCCAAGATTCAGCTATTGTGAGTTGTGCTGCTATAAACATGGGTGTGCATGCATCAGTGTGGTGTGATGTCTTTAGGAAAGACACCTAGAAGGGGAAGAGCTGGGTCACATGGAATGCCTAGTTTTAGTTTTTTTGAGGAATCTCCATACTGATTTCCATAGTGGTTATACTAATTTACTCTCCTACCAACAGTGTAGAGGGCTCGTCTTCCCCACAGCTTTGCCATCACTTGTTGTTATTTGATTACTTGATGACGGCCATTCTTTCTGGACTAAGGTGGAATCTCAGTGTTGTTTTACAGTATTTGTATTTCTCAAATGGCCAGCGATACTGACCATTGTTTCATGTATTGCCCATTTTACTTCTTCTGAAAAGTATCTGTTCATTTCACTTGCCCATTGGGTCTTTTTTTTGGGGGGGGTCAAATTTTTTTTTGAGTTCTTTATATATTCTAGATATTAGTTCTCTGTTGGAGGAGTAGCTGGCAAAAATTATTTCCCATTCTGTGGTTGTCTGTTTTTGGGGGGGTGGGGTACTGGGGATCGAACTCTGGCCCTTGTGGCTTGCAAGGCAGGTGGTGAAACCACTGAGCTAAATCCCAGTTTCCCTTTTTTGCGGGGGTACTGGGGTTCGAACTCGTGAACTTGTGCTTGCGAGGCAGGCGGTGGAACCACTGAGCTAAATCCCTGGCCTGTCATCCAAAATGTCCTGTAGCATATCTTGTTGAACCCTAAGACCACCACTAGGTGTTCTTGAAGACCAGGCTGAGTTTTAAGCAAATGTCAGAGGCACCCACAACACTGTAGTATAGAATACGTACTGCAAATAAAAACATGCATGACACGATCGCAGCCATAAGATAAAGCACATCGGGAGATGTGTCAAAATCAGCGATGCCTGCCTCAGTAGACTTTTCCCAGTTCTGTGAGTGTGTATGTTATGTGTTTTCTTGGTTTTTTTTGTTTGTGTGTTTGTTGTTGTTACTTTTTGTTTTTTGAGATAGGACCTGAATCCCTGTGTAGTTCAAGCTGGCCTTGAACTCGTGGTGTGGCTTCAGTCTTCTGAGTGTTAGGGTTTCAGCCTGTTTTGCACCACTGTGCACAGTCATGTACATGTTTCCTATAGTGACTCTGAATGATGTATCAGGGAGAAAAATGCTCAGAAATAAGGTTCAAAGACAAAATACTTAAGGTTTTGGAATTTTGAACTTTTTCTATTTTCCAGTTTTTGTTGTTTTTAAGACAGAGTTTTGCTGTGTAGTCCAGGCTATCCTTGAACAGCAGTCCTCCTGCCTCAGCCTCCCAAATGCTGGGTTTACAGCTGTACACCACCACAGCAGGCTCCCCACTTTCTTGTTATGTGCTTATGCTATTTTTGTAATTAAAAAAAAAATGTTCCAGGGTCAGGGATGTAGCTCAATGGCACCTCACCTGCCTGGCAAGTGCAAGGTCCTGAGTTCAATTCCTCTATGGGATGGGGTGTTCCATTACTGACTTAAAAAAAATAAGAACTGTTTTCTTGCTTTCTCTCTTACTCTCCTAGAGGAAGGAAAATTATATAAAACAGAAAACATGAAAAATGACATTGTAGACTTCTGTGACTTTCTTTTTTCTACTGGGGATTGAACCTACTGCCTTTGCACTGAGCTATATCCTCAGCCCCTTTATTTTTTATTTTTTGGTGCTTGACGGGCAGGTGGTGGCACCACTGAGCTAAAGCCCCGGCCCAACCCCTTTATTTTTTGAGATGAATCTCCTTTAATTACTGCATTGGTCACATCACCCTGCGTTGCAAGCTCTGATCCTTGCCCTGTAGACCACCTTCCAGGCTGTAATTATACATTTATTAGTGTGATTATCCGCAAAGCCCCACAAGAACAGGACCCTTGTTCATCCATGTGTTGTATCCCAGGGCCTGAAACACAGAACCCACTTGATAGAAACTGCTGATTAATGAGTGAGAGAACAGAATCCACTAGTCTTCACAGTGCTTTTAAAACAAACGCCTCCAGTGAAAGAGTCAGACTGACTCTCAGCACTCTCCTTGTGGTCTTAGAAATTACATTCCAACAAGCCGGTGTGGTGGTGCACGGGTGCCATCCCAGTACTTGGGAGGCTGAGGCAGGAGGGTGAGCACAGGTTTAGGGGCAGCCTGGGTTCAAGGCCAGCCTAGACTGACTGCACAGCGAGACCCTGTCTCAACCTCCCACTACCCCCAAAAAGCAATCACACTTCAAGAAGAAAACAGAGATTAGAACAGGTAGTGAACTAAGTCATCTCCCTGATGTGAGTCTCATGGCTGTACCCCCACCCCCAGGCTAGGGATCAAACCCAGGGCCTTGTACATGCTAAGCACAAACCCTGTCACACCAAGCAATACCTTGCAGTGCTAGAGCACATTCCTATCGTGCTAAGCACATGTTCTGCCATGCTAAACACACCCCATGCCCATGTCCTGTTAAGCACATGTCCTGTTGTGCCAAGCATATGGCATGGCATGCTGAACGCATGTACTTTCCCGTTAAGCACTCGTCACATCATGCTAGGCACACACCCTATCACTGAGCTGTCCCCCACCCCAGGCTGTCCCAGATGAACATGAATTGGGCGTCCAGGGGCACTGCCTGGAAAACGCGCTGTCCACCCTTTGGCTGTCTGGCTGGGGACTTCCTCTGTGGTCATCCAGCTTCCGAGAGAATTGAGCCGACATCACCATGTGTGTTAATATGAATCAGTCTTTATTTCGCACTTGTGTGGTGTATTAACAAATTCAACAAACAAGATAGCATTACATATTGTAGGTTAGCGTTACAGCATTATGCAGTTTCACACAATTCATGTTAGCTTTTTCGTTTTTTCCTTTTTTAATTTGACATGTTTGTCTTTGAGTTTCATTTTTACAAGAGAAGACACAAGGTAAAGAAAGACGACCACTTTGGAGAGGATCATGGCGAGGGCAGCGTCACTGTCGTGGCCGGCGAGCGCCTTCCGAGGAAAGGGACTTGCGCTTTCCTCTCCTTAGCAAGCCCCCGCCCCTGTCCCACAGAGCAGTTCTGTTTTCCTACCTAGAGCACCGCCAGGAAACAGGTACATCTGGGAACTGAAGGAAGGAACAACTCATAAAGGGACTTCGTTATTGAGAAAAACTCTTGTCTTCCCAAAGGGAGCAGGATATCCGCAGAGAAGGATTAGCTTTTGGAAAATCGGACGTGACCGTGACCACTGCCTAACCTGTTCTTGACTACGAGCACCTTGTGCGAATGCTAGGACGCGACTCTTGTCAGGTGATGCTGGGGAAGAGGCGCTCTGCCTCCACCCTTTCAGTTCTCTCTGCAAAGAACCAATGTGAAAGCCAGAGTCAGCAAAGAAACTTTGGGACAGCATACTCCAGGGCAGGATGGATCGGGCCTGAGGCTGCAGGGAGGGGTCCTGTGCCGGCCGCCTCTGCCCTTTGCTGGGAAAGGCACAGGGGCGGCCCCCAGCCTCCAGAGCGGCCAGCTCCTCCGGTCACCTCACCACCCCTCCACAGACCCCAGGAAGCGGGATGAGGAGTAAGAGCTACCAGGAGGTCGGGACTGGGCGGGCGAGGCTGTCTCCCCAGCATATGGCAGGAGGAGCTACAGAGGCACACACAGCGGGGCAAAGACCAGACTTTCTCCACCTGTCGCTCTGCATTGTTTCTGGGAAGGAAACAAAAGCGGGTTGCTCAGCGGTTTCTGATCTTTAGACATTAAGGCGATGAAGAGGAACCATTTAAATTTCTTCCTAATGGGGCTTCAGAATGCTCCTGCCAGATTTACATTAAACTATCTCAAAATGCATTTTTAGAAAACAAAATTTTTTTCTTCTACGTATGATACAATATTTACACTCCACGGGTTCGAGGACAGACTAGTGGTGTGGCCCCAACCGGTGATGAGAGAGTCGGATTCTGGGGGTGCGGGTGGGGGTGGCAGGGGCCAGGACAGAGAAGAGGCTTTGTGCCTGCACAGAACTGCTCTGCGCTGTCAAGAGTCTAGGTTAGAACAAAACCCAAGCAGAGGACGCAGCAAGGAAGCAGACTGGTTTTAAAGCCACAAGAGCTCAGGGGACACCAGAGGCAATGTCACCACCCTCTCCAGGGAGACTCTTCCGCTCCCACACCGCACGGTACACGTTACGGGGCCTCCACCCGGGACGGGGCTGCCCCAGATCCGAGGCGGCTCCCCTGGCCTGTTCTGCCCAGCAGCGCAGGGAGGACTGAGCACCTTCTCCCGCCCTCCAGGAGCCCTGCATTTATCTGGAGGGAAAGGAAAAGTATGTTTACAACTCAGTCACACAGCTGTTTGTTTAAAGATCCGTATTATTGAGAAATGCAAGGAGAGAGACTAGGTTCTGAGGGCCTTTTCCCTTATGAACAAAACTAACCTCGTTAGAACATCTAAGCCACTTAAGGAGAACCTGCAGCTTCCCGTGGCCAGCGTTTCTGGGCGCCGAAGTCCAGCGCAAGCCTCGGACCTGCGGGGACTCCCGGTGGCCTGGTGAGAGCTGCAGAGGGCGTCAGGCCCTTCCCTGACCTCCTACCTCGGATAACCTCGGCGTCAGCGGCTCTGCCTGCAGCCGAGGGAAGTCAGCTAGTTCTGTGGCCCCAAGTTCTACTTGATAAACCCGGTGCATTGTGTGAAGCGTAACTGCCCCCCCGGCAGCGGCAGGGACAGCAGCAGAGACGCCCACTTCGGGGTCTCGCTCTCCCTGCCAGCCCAGCCACAGCCACACCACCCGCCTGGCAAAGCGCAGAGACCCGAGAGGTGGGAGAAGAGATGCGGGTGATGAAAACGTGAGGTTTTACAAGAGCAAAGTTTTCTTCTGCAGAGGTGGGGAGTGAAAACACCTCTCTAGAGAAAGCCCAAGGAGAAGACGCCAACTTTGGGTAATCAGCAAATACAATTCGGCACAAAACACGATTTTCATGGATTAAAATCTGCAACTTGCTACTGGCAGATAGGCTACGTTCTTCAGTTTGTGTTAGACATGCAAGTGTAAGGTTACATTGTTATATATAGACGCGTAGGGTCTTCCCCGTTCTTTTTTCCCAGTTAAAAACCAGAAGAATTCCTAGTGCCTTGTGGGGTGTTCTCTGTGGGGTCTGTTTTGTAAGAAATTTTCTCTACAACTGAAGTGAGGCTGTGAGTCCTTCTCCGTCTGCTCTCCCTGCCGCATCCCTCCCAGCCTGGCTCGGGTCAGAGGCAGGCAGGGTCAGTACTCGCTCAGACTGTGCCACTTGGCTACAGGCTTGCGGGGGCTCTCACAGACCTCCCGCCAGTGCTCAGCCCCGCTGGCCGAGACGCTGTGCGCGCCCAGGATCAGCCTCCCCACCACCTCGTTCTTGGTGGTGCGGTCGAAGTCGATGACCAGGAACTCGATGCTGATGTCAGGCAGGAGGTCGGTGGGGATGTCGTAGATGAAAGACTCGTTGAAGACGGGGTTCAAAGTGCACTTCTTGACGTGGGTCTTCTTCTTGGCGATGCGCTTTCTGCCGTAGTAGACGTTCACCTTGACGTACGGATCTGGGGCCCCCCGAGGAGATAAGAAGAGACACAGGCCTATGACACAGTCCTTTCTATAATGGTGGCTTCGTGCCAGGCAGGAGGGGACTCTGCTGCCTGTCGCCTTGGTGCCGCCCTGGGCTCTTAACCACTGCGCAGTGAAGCACAGACTGTGAGCCTGCCCGATGGGAAGCCAGAGACCAGGCAGGAAGCGAGCCGAGCAGTCCCACTGCCGGCCGAAGCCGGCCAGTGACACCAGGAGTCCTCCAGGGCCTGGGACCGCCTGGGACTCTCACCTGGGGCAAGTGCCCGGCACCCAGCATGCCTGTCACGGGACGCCGGGGCCAGGGGCGAGCATCTCCCGCCACGGGGATCTCTGGGCTAAAGTCTGTGTAGTGGCCAGGAAGTCTCCACAGAGGGAGGAAGCCACCGACAGCCCAACAGGCCAGGGCCTGAGGCCTGGGGGGAGCGGCGGCTTGGGGCGGGATGGGGCGGAGTAAATAGCTGCTACCTGAAAGACCGGTGATGTCCATCTTCGGCAGGTGTCTGGCTTTGAGCACCACCACTGTCATTCTCTGTGCCACAGGCTGGTAGGACAGAGACACCTGGAGCTCCCCTCTGCTAATGCACTTCTGCAAGGGAGAAAGGAGGTGAGGATCCGGGCACGGCCGGCCCAGGAGGGGAGGCGGCATGTCCATAACCTGACGTTGGTAACAGTCAGCATGGACGGGCAGCAGAGCCCACGGTTCC